TACGATTCCGGCTTCTTCTTCATTGGGTCCAACGACCTACAAACTTAACCAAGTCGACCCGACCCGCAACCCATAAATCCAATTTAGAACGTAACCCTAAACAGGCCCAAACCCAGTACATTAACCTGGCCCAACCCAACAACCCTGAACCCTGGATCCGGCCCGACTAGGACTTATGCTCGGGTTCCATGGTCGGTGCGTGGGACACAAATGGGTCTGCGAGTGGGTGCGCATCATGGCCAGTGCTTGGAGCACATGCATCTCCGCTGCCGTGCTGTACACAACGGCGTCGGCGACTTTTCTGGCGACCCATCTCGGCTTGTGCGATGGCGTGTGGCTTTCCTGGCCGCCACCCCGTGGCAGTGCGTAGGGGAACTCGAGGTCTCTCTTATGTTTTTCGACGTGCCAAATCCAAATCCACTATCTGTATTCCTAAATTCTAACGTTTTAGTAGAGTTTTTACTAAATGACTTCTATATGTGTTTAGGTGCATCGGTGGGAAATGGCACCATCCTCGTTAACTCGAGCAACTCCCGGGCAACAAAATATTTGTAAGTGGACCCCTTCTTAACTTGCATGTTTTTATAAAATATTAGGATTGCATTTACGAAAAGCAAGATTTCATGATTTTATGTTTTATGCATTAATTATGATTTATCGAATTTACGTTTTACAAAAGGTTACAAATTATTGGATTTTCGTATATGAATTTCTATGGATTACAAATATGAATTATTGGATTTACGAATATGTTTTACTACGAATTTATGAGATGAGGAGGCTTTGATCTTTTAAGCTCCGCTGATTTGATATGAGATTTGAGATATGTTTTCGGTGCTTATCTAGTGGGTTATCATACAACACATCCACACAACACGGGTATTAGACATCTATGGCCATAGGACATAGTTGAGGATATTTAAGTATATATTTCTTCTCTGGTGTAACCCAGAGTCGTATAGATTCACCTTTGAATGATGGGGCCTACCATATTTCTTTACTGGCGTAACCTAGTGTCATACAGCTTCACCTTCGGGGTGATGGACAAGAACTGCCTTCGAGTGAATGAGTAGTGAGATATTTATGTCATACCCCCAGTTTCACTAGCCACGGCTAGTCTTGGTGTGTGATGTTATATGTTTCTTTTCTGGCATAACCCAGAGTTGTATAGATTCACCTTCGGGTGATGGGGCCTACCATGTTTCTTCACTAGCATAACCCAATGTCGTACAGCTTCACCTTCGAGTGATGGACAGCTACTGCCTTCGAGCGACTATGATACCCCTAGAGAGAGTACATCATTGATGAGATTTAAGGATTTGCCTTCGAACGACTATATTATCATTTCTGAGCACTGGTTTATATGTACTGTTTACAAACGTTTTCATGGCATGCTAAAGTTTTCAAAAATCCTACTATGTAGTACTATATATGTGTTTTCAAAATAGGGAGTTATTATGTTTAGAAAGAAAATGGTTTTCATATTATTAGTATTAGTATAAATTATGGTCCACTTACCCTTTGTTTTTGCGCCCCCTCAGGAGTTAGAAGCGAGGCATACTGATAAGAGCATATTTAGGCTACTTAGTTAGCTTGTTTTCTTACATTTATGTTGTTAGTTCATAGTTATTTTAGTATTTTAAGCTATTTTCGTGTGTTTGTAGGTCCATATGGCTAAAGTAGCAAGAAGGTGCATTTTGGAGCCTTTTGGAGTAACATTGGACTTGGAATGGATAGCATATGCTTGGAGCAAAAGGAATGGACGAAATTGAAGACCTAAAGATGTTAGGATTCCTAATCAAAGAAGGTTTCCTACTTGAAGTAGGAAAGTTAAGCCAAGGTTTCCTATTTTGGTTTAACCTTCATTGAAGGTCTCTTATGCATTCTAGGACACAAACTAAACTTTCCTTGCACCATTCTAGCCCTTGCCGTACCCCTTTCCTTTTCCTTATTCCTTGCCACACAAGGTAGCCTAAATCCTTACCTAATTTCGACCTTAAAACACATTCCTATTACATTCTAAATCCTTGCCGTGCAAGGGGATTGTTTCTTCCCTATTTTGTGTCCCAAGATCACATTCCTTTTTAATCCTAGTCAATGCCGCACCCTACATCCCTTTTCTCTCCTAATTTCTGGTTTTAATCTTTCCTTCCCATTTCTTGCCGCATGTCACCTTCCTATTTCCTTTAATTTCTGATCTTACTTACTTATTTTGAGGAGATTCTGACCCTCAATGCTCTTGAACAAAATAGCTAAGTCTCATTGATCTTCCCTAAGACTTTGCCACACCCATAGATACATTTTATTCATTCATAAACACAATTGAGCCATCATTCATCTCTCTCACCACTTATAGCCTGCAGCCTATATGCATTCTCCACCATCCCCATACATTCATACCTTCAACCACGCATCCATACACCATTCCTCTACTTTGCCGCAATCCCTTACCAACCCAAATCCACTCCTAATCTAGAAACACATCCAAAATCATCCCTAAAACCTTTGTGCCTCAGCATAGCAAGGAAGAAGAAGAGGAGAAGAAACCATGGACGTTTTTGCATTCAAGTTAACATTTTTAGGTGTAATCTATCTTTTGTTTTCAATGTTTAATTTAAGTTTTCTTTATTTTGCTGTGAACATAAGAGGCTAAACCTGTTTTAGCTAGAGGAGGCTTTGAAACCATGATTATATTTGTGATATGAATTGATTAATTCTAGTTGTGATTTCATAAATTGTGAATGTAATTTACTTAACCGTTTGATTGAGAACTTATTCTTGTATGTTGATTAAGGAGGCCTACTTAGTTTGCATGCTTGAATTTGATGGTAGAATATAAGGGAGTTTCACATAATCGTTACAAACTTCTATTCATAAGTAGTTAAGGTTGGTTATCACAATCATGTTAAGTTAAATTCCTAGCATGAGTATCATGATGTCATAGTTACAAATGCTTTGTCAATGCTTATGATTTTCATAGAACGTAATGATCTTTGATTGTATCTCTATTATGATGTCATGTAGGGAATTTTTGAAGAATGCTTTGGGTTGTCGAATGATGTCATCCAATCCAATAACTAAAGGAAAATCTGAGGGTTAATTAGTGATGTCACGATTAATCTGGGGTATTGAGGTTCATGGTTTATTGAGAAAGCAACTGGAAATCAATTTGTGTTCAAATGTATCATGTGTGGAAAAGAATCCTCTAGCTAGCTAATCATCCATAGTTTTTCCCCAAAATCTTCCAAACTTTGTTTAAGTCTTTAAGTTACTTGTTTTACTTTAAATTTGTCCAAAAACCCAATCCCATTTTCTTTGTTGTGTCTAAATAGCTAGAATCTGTCCAATTTGTGTGTTTGAGTGTTTTGAGTCAAAACCAATTTTATTTTCGTCCAAATTAAGTCCTAGAGTCTAGTTTGAGTCAACTTGATTGTTTTGTGTTGTTTTGAGTCATATAAGTTTAGTTAAGAGTCTTTGAGTTTATTTAAGTGTTTTCAAGCCTAGTTTTGTATTGTTGAGTCAGTTTTTATTAGATTAGCAATCCCTCCTAATCCCCGACCTAGAACGATCCCTACTTACATCTTTACTGCAATTGTCAATAAGAGGGTTTAATTTGAGTGCTATTATTTATCACATCACATACGATCCTGGTGCTAGGGCATTTCTGCATAGGTATCCTCGAGTCTTTTCAATGTAGGTCTCATTCCTTTGTTCGGATCTTTGGTGTTTTTTTTTTTTTTGTTAGTTGTATGCTCTGAACACGATTCGGCATTGGTGTAAGTCTTTATATCTACATATTTTTATTTGTATGCATGTTAAAATGGCTTCATCACCCTCAGGTGTCGACCAACATATGCCCACCCTGGTATATGGGGATATCGGGGTCAGGGAATGTCACAACAACCCTCTCTTCCAAATGAGAACAGTGATGCAATACGCTAATGATTTTTAGTATTTATATCACTGTTCTAAAAATCCTCGCCTAGCGTCACTTAGGCGAGCGGCTGGTCACCGCCCCGATTAATGCCTAGGCATTTGAAAATTAAGAAATGGTGCCTAAACCTGCAGAGGTGCCCGCCTAGCCCGCCCAGGCACTCACCTAGGTTGAAACTCACTTAGACAGAAAATAGATAACATCCATTTTGAATTTATTTTTTTCAATAAATTGTAAGGGACTTGTTGAATACTTAAATGAACACACATTATAGGCTTGTTCCCTATGTTTTCATTATGTTCCAATAATTCATAATATATATGTCATTATATTTTGTAGTTTATGATGAAATTATATATATTTTAAGTATAAACAGACACTTATTTACATGAAATATAATAGATTTACTTAAATCCGCCTTGTCCGCCTAGGCCCTAGCCCGCCACCCGACTAGCGCCTAGCGTCTTTTAGAACCTTGATTTATATGTGGGTATTTCAATAATTTCGGTTTTGTGCATGGTGTGCATGGCTTGTGCATGATTTATGTCCCAAGATTAAGAAAGTGTCCCCTTTTAGGGTATTTCCCTTCTTCTTTTAAGCCAAAATCCAGTCCAATAGGCAAAATATTTATCACAAAATGTGTCCGGCCATGTTTTCATTGCTCCGAATCCAACAGATTGATTTGTCACCTCTAATGACAACAAACAAATATTATACTTGAGAAATCCAATTAAAGGTACAAGGTCAATTAAGTCCTGTTTCACGTATGAAATGACAATCATTCTAAGAGTTTTGAAATGAGGACAGAAGCCTTTTTGGGTCTCGAAAACTAATTTTTCTTAAATAATCCGAAACTATTGAATTGTCCAGGAAACGAACGTAAAAATTGACTTTAAGAAATCTAACATTAAAGATTGTTTAAAAAGTCAAACTAATTGGTAGGCTAGACTCCCAAAAACTCCTCTAAAGCGGACGCTTTTTCCAAATTTCTCTTTATCTCTTTATACACGCACATATGTAAAAAATATTTTGAGCTAGTAGGAAAGGAATTAGAATCCACCCAAAATTCACTTCATAATACTATATTAATTAAGATAACGTCAAAACCTGAACAATCACGAATCAAGGATCCATTTTAATTGCCAAATGAAAGAGTACATGACCCCTATTCCACAGTATGTTGAGATAAGCATGAGGGGTATAAAAGGAAGCTTATCACCAAAAATGATGGGATGCAAAAACTGACCCCAAATCTCAACCAGCAACATACTAACCAAATAACTCCAGTGAACCCACCCAATAACAAACCCTCCTTTCTGGGCAGCTCCAACAGAACGTCTCTTCGATTGAAAATCATCATCTTTTTTCTTTCCAGAGTTTGCCGTTTCAAGGGCAATCCCGTTAGCGAATTGTGCAGAGAAACCTAACCACATAAGCGTGGAGTGTAGTAACAGCAATAGGACCTTTACTGGATACTCCTGGGCTTCATATAGAAGTGGGAACAGTGAGTAGCAGGACACTGCACATGAAACATGGCTTAGAACTTTTAGTGTATAGGTAGGAAGCCAATGATCAATAGTACAGATAAAAAACCCACATTAAAACTTAAATTGGAATACCGTTAGTTACACTCGAAAGTGTTGCTAAACAGTACCTGTGATTTGGGGAAAATTTGCAAAATAAAGAGCTATATAATGCTGAAATCACGATGCAGAAACTTTATTTTTCAAAAATATTCTAAACAGCAATACATATTATTAGAGACCTTAAAACGTTGTCATTTGAATTTTGTCACGACAGACTTCAATTTCAATATTCCTGGGTAAGTAGGAAGAAAACAGTTCCATAACATATTTAGTCATTTTAGGGACAACTACTTCAACATGCACACATTTCAGTTTTACTTCAGCTAGGTTAAACTTCTGACATTTTACGCCAGGTCTAGGATAAAGCTCAGTTGGTAATGCTAACTTATGTGAAGTTAGCATCTGGCAATAGCTCGCAATCCTGAAGCATATTAACCCCCACTCAAACAAATCTGTAAAGGACACCCCCCTCGTTTCTCTGCAAATAAATGAAAGCAAGAAGAAGCATACCAATTGATATCAAGAAGTAATGCCTTGCATTATCCAAACTCTGCACTGCAACAATGGCAAGAGGGATGACAAAGTGGAGTGATGCCTTCTCATGAACGTGCCACCCAAACATAAACCCACAAGTATATGCATAGGCTACCCATCTGGTAATCAACGATGGTCGTGGATGTGTCCAAGCTTTAATGAGACAAGGGGTTAAGGAAATCAGAACCAGGATAAAGGTTGTCGCAGGAGTGACCTACCATTTCACCAATTTACAAAAAATTAGGTCCCAAAAACATCAAACATGTGAAAGAAATAAAAATCTGTATTTATCTTATTTTATCAGTTAAGATAACCTAGTCCTAAGCCTGATAAGTAGAATATCTCATCTCATCAATCAACAGCACTGAACATACTAACAGGGTATGAAGAGCCTTCTTCCTTCTGCTCGGTCAGAAGCTCAAGCTAAAGGTCAAATACTGACACATGGACTCAGGGTGATTGGTGGACCACCCGAAAAACAGTGGCAAACAATTGAATTGGGCATTGGGAAGTCTTTAATTACTTAATTTCTTTGCTAGTTCTATTGAGCGTAAGGTAAACAGAGCGTTGATTACAAGAACCAAAGCAGCCTTAACCTACCACCTATTCATACTTACGTGAATTTGTATCGGTGTGCAGACAAGTGAACCGTCAACAAGCAGCACCATCCAACCAAGGGGTTTTGTTTCCCCATTTGATTTGATATACTTAAATGTTATCCTATTATATTGCACCTCCTTCCAGTTCACCATTGAGAATTACCTGAGGTAGTACAGCAAAAGGGGATGAATCCCCAACTAGCCCACCAGTGAATGAAGCTGCTGGTGCTTGAATGTTGAATCCAAGTCTTCCAAGCAAGAAAGCAAGCACTTTATCCAGTATGATATAGAACACCCAAAAATTCGGTGCCCAATAGGCATGGCAAAGTCCCCTTCCAAAAGGAAACATGCGGTGGATAACTTGTTGCATCTGCAAGGTAAAGTTCAACAATCAAATTACGACGCATGAATAAAATTGATGGCATATGCTGTAAAGGTACAAGAAAAATTAAATGACTTGTCCAAGATACATGCAAATTGTTATTAAATGATCAGAGAGCAACATTACTGCATAATTATCTTGGCGTAGTATATTCCCTTGCTTCATTTTGTTAAACATGAGTACCAGTAGATTGGGTGGAATACCTTTGTTCCCACAGTTTCTTTCATCAACGTTTTGAGGTTTAAACGATTGAGGCAGGAGTTTCGATTTTCATCCCTCTCCTCACTAACTACGTTTAATTCATATTGTAGATATAAGGGTCATAGAACAGAAATATGGGAAACTTAATAGGCCTTCCATCCCATGGAAGGAAGGACTGAACCCTAAACACTAAATCATCACCAAGAAATGTCAAGACACGGATACATATGGTTCATATGCTAATGATGTGAACTATATTAGCTCCAAATGGGGTAGCAGTTTCGTGGAGCTCATCAATATTGTAGAAACAGATACTTAAATAACAACTTTCATATTATTTTTATATGTCCACTTATCATTCTAAGCTAAATCTACAAGAAATAGAAGGATACTCATAATTATTCTTTCATAACAAATGGATGAATAAGCAAACGAAAAATAGTACTTCAACGATTAAAATTAGCTTCAAAAGAACCATATCAAAATTCTGAAGACAACAACACCAAAGGGATACCAAAATCGAAACCTATACCACAACTGATCCACATCCTTCCCCCTTTCTCCCTAAAAATTCCTCTTATTACCCTCCTTCCATACCACCCAGAAAAAGAAGGTTGTACAATGTGAAGTTCTTAATGTAAAATGTGCAACAATTTTCAGTCACTAGCTCTCAAAAAATATGAATCAGAACAATAATTGATATGCAATATCATCTGCTTTTCCAGTCAGTTTTCTGTCACTGAAAATCTGTATCTTTCCTTATGTTCATGGTTCGCACAACAAATGCTAATACAACTTTACTGTTGCTAGGAAACTATGTGGCTTTACGATGGTAATGCAATATTATCGATTAATCAAGTTAACAAAAGAAGATAATATTTCAGATGATCTTCATCTTCCAATAGTAAGATACACAAAAAACAGTACAAAGAGGTGCCAAACCTAAGAAGTCCCTTACTATTTGTTTGCAAAGTATTAACAAATATTCAGCTCTCCTCAAAATTCCATTTGAAGGGAAAAACCACCGAGCTATTCATTGTTTGAACGACAAGTCACAAGCAAAGACCAGAATAAATATGAGGTTTCTTAGCAGTAGTGTAGACTAATATGAAGATTGCAAAGAACCATTTCAAAAACAAAAAGCCAGAGCCGGAGAGATTACCTGCCCATGATACACAAATGGGGCATATGCCAATGCAAAAACAGCCACAACAACAGTCCCCAAAACCGAAAGCCGCCAGAAACCCCTCACCAATCCTTTCCAGCAATAATGCCTCAACAAGTAAACAAAATAAACAGGCGCCGCGACTGCAAACAAATGCTTGAAGCACAATAGCACAGCAAAAATAAGCCCACCCATCAAGTCCCTCCCTTCCTCCAAACACGAAAGCGAAATCAATAAAATCCCAAGCAAAAACCCATTGTACTGGAAATGCAAATGGTCCACAATCACAAGCATTGGCGACCAAATCACCAATACCCAGATCATCTTTTGCTTCATCGAATCCGAATTCCTAGTCAATCGAAAAACCCCATACAAAAGGCACAAATCCGATAAGATTACAGAGATTCTTTGGAAGTAAAGCACTGTGTTTGAGCTGTAGTTCAAGCCCTTTTGGAGGTGAACGATTTGTGGGTCGATGAGATTGGCGAAAACGGAAAGGAATCGCTCGAAGTAGGCGAAGAATGGCGGGTAGTCGAGGGTCCAAATGCTCGTCTCGTCGGAGTACCATTGGGAGAGAGGGAGAGAGTGGGTTATGCCTAGCCAGTGGCGGTGGACCTCAAAGTCTGTGCTTTTGTAGGCTGGGATCAGAAGCAGCTTTACGCAGGCGGAGATGGCGAAGAACCACCATAGCTCTGTGATGGGGTTGCGGGGTTTCGGAGGGTTTTGAAGTTTCGGGGCGGTTTGAGCTTCCATGGAGTTGAAAATTCCGTGGAAAGCGAGTTGCGGGAATTGTAAAGTTTTGAGGGGAAAAGAAAGGGAAAAACGTGGAATTTGAAGGCGTGTAGAATTATGGATTGGCTATCGCTTTTAGCCACTGTTTTAAAAAATTCCGTTTAGCGGCGCTTAGCCCTAGGTGGCTGGCGGCAGTCCAACACTCGATTAATTCATGATGTTTGAAGATTAAGAAATGGCGTTTAGATTTATTTGTGCACTCGTTAGACAGTTTATCGCCTAGGCGCTCGTCTTGCCTATTCAAACCTGTCTAAGTGTCTACCTAGACTCGCATAGGCACTCACTTAGGTCGCAACTCTTATTTAGATAGAAAATAGGTAACTTTCATTTTGCATTTTATTTTATTTTCAATAAATTGTAAGAGACTAGCTGAATACTTAGAAGAACCTACATTATATGTTTATTTTCCATGTTTTCATTATATTTTAATACTTCTTATTCTATATGTCATTTTACTTTGCAATTTATGTATCTTAATGTAATTATTTATTTTTCAAATATAAACGGGCACTATTTTACACAATCTATAATGAACTAATGTATCTCATTTAGGAAAAAAAAAATAGATAACTATTTATACAATATATAATGAGTTTACTTAAATCTGACATCTCATTCAACAAGTCCTATGGCACAGGGAAGTTGGTGTTGTTGATTTCTTCGTAGGTCTTGTAGATATCCCAACCACCCAAGTGGTCTCGCACGTGCTTAACTTGAAAGGTATCCAAGGTTGTATCCTTCAGTGTGCTCCTCTTCAACCACCTTCTTATGGGCTTCATGAAGGGCTGCCAACTCCCATTTGTGCACGTCCGTGAGCTATTGGAGATTGCAATGCGGCTAGCCATTGCGTTTGAAATTTAGACCTTGATGACAAGAGCGTCATCGTGGGGTGAGTGGACGTTCTCCAAATCCCGATCGGAAAACGTTAGGATATTGGAGTCGATTGGAAGTGGTTTGCTAATAGTTGCCACCATCCTGGGCTTCTTGCATGCCACCTTTGTATCCTTGTGGATCTTCCCCAGGTACTCTTACTCCCCATAAATGCAGTTGACATTGAGTGTTGGACCTTTGGCTAGGTCTTAGAATTTCAAGGATTCTTGAGCTCTATGGGGCTTCTTTCGTGAAGCCTCAGGAGCATAGCGTCAACTCTTCGCTCGTGAGTACAGAACAACAGTTCTTGTTGTGGTCTGAATAGGCATTGCCTCTGCTACGGGTTCTATAAAATTGGAGACGTCTTCCTTTAGGGCCTTCACGTGCTTCTCGAGGTCAATGATTCTTGCGTGCTTTTTTTTTGTGAGACATTTCGGAGCTTGTCGACAGTCGCGTAAATCTGTAGCAAACTCTCCCAAATTCTATCCATGGGTGGAGCATCCTCGTTGGTGCAATTACACCGTGGGGACATTGCTGCAGTCATAATAGTATAGAGTGATTTGCTCGAAAGGTTTTTAGTTCCTCTCAATAAAACCACCTATTACTGAAACCAAACACGCGCACCATCGTGAGTGGTGTGGATGCTCGAATTTGTTTACCTATAAAAGAATTCACAACCGTGAGTAAGGCTAGGACCGAGGGGTGTGCAAGTCAAATGCTCTCCGACGGTCAAGCCGAAAATTAAAGCCAAAACACAATCCAAACCGGACTGCACATAATGGTTTGATTTTGTAGTTTTGAAATCGAACTGAAAGTTAAAATAAAATTTGGTATCGGTTCCTAATATGTAGAATCGAGCCGAGCCACATAAAATATATATAAAAAAAAATTAATTGGCCAATTAGGCATTTGGGTTAGTGTGGTTATCAATTTTGGTTTTAGATATTGTAAATTGTTCTTCTATCATGCAAGTGGTCATTTACCACAGTGGTGGAAAAATGTTAAGCCTTTGCATGATGTCGTGGGTTCAAATCCCGTCAATGACTAATCTAACAAGATCCATTGTTCAACCAAAAAAAATAAAAAATAAAAAAAATAAAATTCTTCTCTCACATTTGGGGCCCAAAACAAATTGAAAAAGAAAAACTTTAAATAAAAGATCATTAAATTGGAAACCCAAACCGGAACAACCCTATCAAGCAAGTCCAATTTTTAATGGCCCTATAAGTAGGCCCAAACCGAAACAAAACCATTTGAAATTGAACCAAACCAAAGCCGATTGATTCGATTTCATTTCGCTGCACATGGTCAAACCGAACCAAAAAAAATTTCGGTTTCAATTTTACCCTAAAACCGCTCCGCACTGTGCTCACCCAGAAATTGTATTTGTTCCCACATTGCGATCCCTTGTAGCAATAGGGGTTTTAAAATGGTCCCGGATAAAAACCTAATGGCAACATTCATTTCCTACAGATCCATCAAAACTGATTTTGGTGTAGGCTTGCTAAAAAGTAAAAACTAAACCAAATTAAGTTAAAAACTAAAACCACTAAAAACTTTGGCCTCCGTTTTTACTTTTTGCCAGGTCCGGATCTAGAGGTATACGATATTTCCCCTATTGTATTGAATTTTTTAAAAAAGACGTCAATGCTATGGTTCCCTATTGTTTGATCCAACATTGACCGGGGACGAACCCCAACTTCCATAGGTCCTTGGACTGCCCCGCGCCGGTTCACTGGACCGTTGGGTTACCAAGCACTTGCCCGCAGCTCCTGCCACCCGAAGGACGGGCGGAGCACGTTGTCAAGGATAAAAGAAACAGAAACCTAAGACATTATGGCAATGTTATCGATATGAAACAATCACGTTAAAAACATTACCCAAAACACTCTGAAAGCACAATTCTAATGGAGATATTCTGCAGCAACCATGTATGTAGCACACAATGAATCTTAACAAAGCCAAAGAGCATAAACAAGTGAAGTGAAACACTCAATTTCTCTTTCGAATGCAAAAAACAGATACCATCAATGTTTTGCTTTCATTACCTACTAGCAAACTAAGTGCTCGTAGCTTACAACAATCTTTTAGTTTTAACAAGCATAACGCAAACAAAACAAACAACATGTTACGCATGCCTGATCAGCCCCAGATCAAAACAAAGATTTAATCCAAATGCTTGAATCTGAAAGTTGTTTTAGTCCGCGAAACAAAGATTCGCGCCTACCTCCAAGCATGGTTTAAGGGCATCATTTTATATTATCCATTTTGTTTTAAACCCATTTTAAAGCAAGCCATGCGCAGAAGAATTCTACCTGAAACCTGAAATTTTGTGATACTGAGTCTTCTCAAGCCTTCAGAGAAGCCTTGTGTACCATGGTTTCTTTGTGTATTTGGTGACAGCTCTTCTCGACAAGATCAAGCAGTTTCTCCAAGTTCATAGCCCACGAATTCAGAACGTTGTTGCTATCCTTCGCAGTTTGGAAACAGACTATTCCTACTGGCCTGTCAATCTTGGCCACAAGTGCCTTGGACACAACCATATCGGACAGATGCTTCTCAGCTTCCTGCATAGGACGGGGGCAAAGCTATATATAAAACTAGAATAAAAAAAGAAAAATCAAATATTTCAAATAAGTCCAGCTACGGCATCCTAAACAGTCAGATTATCCAGATAACTCTGTTATCATATATAAATATGTTACATATACAATGATGCATTAATACATTTCAGACTTTTTTTTGTAAATAAATAAAACAAAAGAGAAACCAAACATCAACACATCACAATTAATCAGGATTACCTATGACTTTAAACATCACACACGTAAGGAAATGTAGAGATTAACTAAAAATCACAATAAAAGCAAGAAAAGAGTGCAGACAGAAAATAGAGTGATGCAGAGAAATGGATAAACTATTGAGGGGAAGGACACACAGCACAAGAGCCGTGAGACTTATAACCGAAAGCAAATCACACCAAAATGTTTTAAAACTAAGGCGTGATACTTCACCACAACAGTCTGTAATGTGTAAATCTGGCTGCCAGTGGGGTTGTCTTGGAAATTAGAAGAGATTCTAATTGAAACTGATTATATTCAAGCCTGTTGTAGCTAATCTGAAAAAAATCATTCATCGTAATAAAGATTTAATACTAAATGCAATTGAGCATTAACAAACCTGTATACTCAGACACAGCAGCTCTGCAAGTCGCTTCAAGGTAATTCTTGAGTAGTTCTTGGAAACAACAAGTATGTTCTGAAAAAACAGTAACACATGTCAGAAACAAATTACTAATTGAACAGTTATAAAGAGCAAATTGCAATGTAGGGGAAACTCTACATGTTCAATAATTCTCTGTCTCAGATCTTCAGCTGCTTTGTCGCCCAAAGAGCCTCCAAGCATGTTCTTCTCACTCTCAAACTCATCCTTGTATGTATTCCAAAGAGTGTTCCATTGTATGACTTCCATAGTTACCACCTGTTTCAACAACAACCTACAGCATAATAACAAAGGCAGACATCATAAGTCATAGAAGAGCATATGTTAAATGCGAACCCACAAAGGGAGATGAGCAACAGATGCTAATATGCTATTGTTGAATATACCTAAAATATGGAAGTTCAGAAAGATTCTTATCCTCCAGTATGGAATTGAGAAGGCTTGACTGCATTGGATCATATGGAGCCAGAACCAAGTACCAACAGATTTTCCTCAAGACCTAAATGAATAAAAGTGTCACAAAAGCTCAATTTAATTCAAAGGGATTTTCCTCAAGACCTAAATGAATAGAAGTGTCACAAAAGCTCAATTAATATTTAAAGGGATTTTCCTTGAGACCTAAATGAATAGAAGTGTCACAAAGGAATTAAATTCAAAGGATAATATATATATATATATATAGATATATAACTGAATAAAAGTATCAGAAAAGCTCAATTAAATTCAAAGGATATAATTCTTAATAATAGTATATATATATATGTGAATTTTACCGGTATCCACTGAGCTGAATTCTCCTTAACAGAAGGAATATCGTATATCGCCTTGTAGCAACGGCAAATCTCAAGGTAATCGTTGTTGTGAGAATAATACCTACAAAGGCAATAAGAGAACATCAGTGATCCATTACATGTCAAAAAGTTTACAAACATCACGTAGAATTCAACTAGTTGTGATCATGTGTGATTCTCAATTCTGAGTCACGGGATGCCCTAAATTATGCAACACAAGGGATGATAGGAGTTTGACAAAAAAAGGCTTTTCCAATTCCAATAACAAAAGAGTGCCAACCACTTGTTGCTAGATATTTTTGCTATGTTATCCAAGGTATAATGCTGCCAACAGCAATTTATTTATTTAGACAGAAACAATTCACATAATTATGTGGAAGCCATTCAGCTTCTAGCATCTGAAACTAAAAACGAGAATCATGGATTCATGGACCTCATACCTAATCTTATGAACAAGCCAAAAAAAAAAACACTTAAAGTTATTCATCACGTCAGATATTTCGTTCTTTAAAACTGTTGTGGTTTGTATGGAGCCATGCCAGAAAACAACATTAGAATGGAACAATGTCAGATATTGAACCAAGCTAGTGTTTTGGCCAAATCAGATTCTAGGAACTCCATGCTTATTCATTGCAATGGGTTCCTAGAAATCCATGCAATCCAACATTCACATCTTTGTGCTAGAAAATACTAGGATGGAACTGCTTATATACCAAAGCACCAATACAAAGTATACCTATAAGGGCATATTCATCAATATGATTAAATATCAAGACAATCAGGGAATGGGAGATCCACCTCTTTTTTTTGGGGAATGCAAAACCTCATTTGATTGGTTTTGAATAGCTACAAAACAGGTGAACCCATACCCATTTGCACTTAAAAACACAGAAGGAATCTCATACAGATTCCCAAGTGGCAAAATAGTAAATCAAATACTACCTAATAACAGCATTTCAATATGTACATGATATTCACGTGATATGTAATTTCATGCATATTAAGATGTTTGTCTGAATACAAGCCTACAAATGTATGAGTCAAGTGTATCATATAGCCTCAAAAAATCTAAAGTGGTAGTCAAGCCATAGCAAACCGTGTGAAGATAATATAAACATTTAAACAAATACAGAACAAAAACATAGAATAGGATAAAAACACTCAATACCGTATCATTAATTCATAGTAGATCCGCTTCAACTCCAAGAGCGATGGTATATCAGCAGGAGCTTCTTCAACAACATTGTCACCTTCTTTTGCTTTTTTCTTTTCTTTTGAAGCATCAATATCAAAAACTCTTGGACTGATCTTCCTTGAGAGTATTTGAGCACGAACATAATCTTGACGGTCTAAACACAACCGAACCTGCAAAAATAAATATACGCAGCATGGCTCATAATGAGAACCAGAACTAAGACATAAAAAGTTGTGAGTGTAATGAATGAGTAGTGAATATAAAGAGTAATCTGAAAAGAATTAGATCCATACTTGTTCAAGAATAAAAGCAATCTTCTCAGTTTTTGCCATGGCACCAAAAGTTTCCACCTGCAAAGATTAACGATTAAAAATGAGTGCTAAAAAATGTATTGTCCTTTTTTTTTTTTTTTTTTTTTTTCTAGAGAGCATGGAGGGGAGAGGGAAGAGAATAATTCCATACTGACCGCAATTTTTTTTTTTTTTTTTTTTTTTTTTTCTAGAGAGCATGGAGGGGAGAGGGGAGAGGGAAGAGAGTAATTCCATACTGACCGCAATTTCTTGCATCAAATCAGCAGCTTCAGCAATAAGCCCTTGCCCTTCCTTAATCTTTGCAAGTCTCTTGATTAACCGGGCTCTCTCAATTTCAACATATATCTAAAGAATAACAGTGTTCATGAGAATTTTAAACAAAAAATTATTTAGGTTGAAATTACATAATTTGAACTGGAGGAATGTGAAGCTTTTTACTATAAGTTTACCTTCCCAGCAGAAACATTATTCAGTGTTTTAATAAGCTCTACACGAGTTTCAATATCTGGTGTCTGTTCAATATATTGCATCGCTTGCTGGACCATTGCAGTCACAGCCTGCATGGAAACAAACAACCGAATGAGCAATAACAATAAAAGAACATTACTTCTGGGAATGCAATCAATTGCAACTTGGAACACATATTATCACAGAAAGTGACTAATATAGGATATGCCGATAATACTTAATTATGACCAAGACAAACACAGATAAATGTGCATTGGAAAGCAGTCTTCAGCAATAAAACCAATATTCAATATTCTCTAACCAAGAAATGATGAAAGATATATATTCACAAAAACAAATACATACATATATATATATATATAATGAATTTTTTATATTTTAGTTTTTGCTTCTTCTGAATTAAAAATAAAAAAAAAACCCCACAATCATAGATATCCCAACCACAGCAGTGACTTTGTTCCTCTGAAAGGAAAATAGATACCAGTAACACTTAAATTGCGTTTGGATGAGAAAACTTAAGAATACTACGGATGTATAAATAACAGAAATTGAAATGACAGAATTTTATTATCTAGAATTTGTGAATTTTCTTGTTTGGTTAACCTAAAAGAACAGTGGAATTTAAATATGGAATTAAATGTGTATAAAGTCAATAATATATAATGAGAGACAGTAGTTAGGAAATGTGCTAGTAGAGGTGGTGGAGACGGTGGTGATGATGGTGGGTAGTGGTGGCGGCAGGAGCGGGGGAGACAACGGTATGTGGTGGTGGCGGCAGTAGTGATGGTGATGATGTGGTGACATGTGGTGGTAGTGGCCACTCATCGTTGAGTTATTATGTATCTTTTATTTTAAACTCTCACTCAAGGAAATTTGAAACTGACAACTATTTACATAGAATTTGAACTTGGGAATTGGAAGTCCCAAATTCCAAGTTTTTTTTTTTTTCCACGCATAAATTCTAAATTTCTATGTCTATGAATCCAAACAAGGGAATCGATGCATGTCAATCATTTTGGTCTTTCCGTGAAAACCTCCATTAAATTGAGGGTGGCCACTCATTTTTGAGTTATTATGTATTTTTTATTTTAAACTCTCACTCAAGGAAATTTGGAAATGACAACTATTTACAAGTAATTTAAACTTGGGAATTGGAGGTCCCAAATTCCAAGTTTTTTTTTCCATGCATAAATTCTAAATTTCTATGTCTATGAATCCAAACAAGGGAATTGGTGCATGTCAATCATTTTGGTCTTTCCGTGAAAAACCTCCATTAAATTGAGGGTGGCCACTCATTGTTGAGTTATTATGTATTTTTTATTTTAAACTCTCACTCAAGGAAATTTGGAAATGACAACTATTTACAAGTAATTTAAACTTGGGAATTGGAGGTCCCAAATTCCAAGTTTTTTTTTTCCATGCATAAATACTAAATTTCTATGTCTATGAATCCAAACAAGGGAATTGGTGCATGTCAATCATTTTGGTCTTTCCGTGGAAAACCTCCATTAAATTGAGGGTGGCCACTCATTGTTGAGTTATTATGTATTTTTTATTTTAAACTCTCACTCAAGGAAATTTGGAAATGACAACTATTTACTAAGTAATTTAAACTTGGGAATTGGAGGTCCCAAATTCCAAGTTTTTTTTTTCCATGCATAAATTCTAAATTTTTATGTCTATGAATCCAAACAAGGGAATTGGTGCATGTCAATCATTTTGGTCTTTCCGTGAAAAACCTCCATTAAATTGAGGGTGGCCACTCATTGTTGAGTTATTATGTATTTTTTATTTTAAACTCACTCATGGAAATTTGGAAATGACAACTATTTACATGGAATTTAAACTTGGGAATTGGAGGTCCCAAATTCCAAGTTTTTTTCTACGCATAAATTCTAAATTTCTATGTCTATGAATCCAATCCAAACAAGGGAATTGGTGCATGTCAATCATTTTGGTCCTGCTATGAAAAACCTCCGTTAAATTGAGGGCATTTTTGTACAATCAACCCCTCCACTTGCTTTTCAATTTAACGGAGATTTTTCACGGAAGGACCAAAATGATTGACGGTGGACAAACTCAGGGACTCACTTCTATCGATTTTCAACATCAGGGACCCAAGTGAGGAGTTATGTCAATCTCAGGAACCATTTAGGCCAAATATATGTATATATACAACTCATAAGACAAAGATAGCTACATACATATGTACATACATGATCAAAACTCTGTTTCTTTTTTTTTTTTTTTTAAAAAAAACCAAATAAATGCTCAAAGCACAAAAAATTAATGTAAGGGACAACAGTAACTAATTGAGCACTGTACTAGTACCATTTAAACAAAGACTAAACATTTTAATTGGATGGTTTCATTCGCAAACTTAAAAATACACAATCACAAACAAAGATGCCAAAGAATCTAAGAGTTACTAAAGGTTACCTGCTTGAGCTGACCACGACGTTTGGATAATACAACAATCTGATCATTGAGAGTCTTCCAAGCACCCGCCTTAAAGCAGAGTTCAAGAATGTCAGTGGCCGCCTTCTTGGTTCCCGCTACATCACCAGCAAGCCTCATTTGCTTCTCTACATTCAGCAACTTCTCTATTTGGGTATCCAAATCGCCTCCTCCTTCCTGAAATTCAATAAATTCCACATAAAACATAACAATTCAGGGTCGACAAAAACAGTTAAAAGATTAGAGTTTTAGATCTGGGAAGAAGAAATGGCTTACCATTGTAAAGTTCAAGTAGAAATGAAACCGCTAGCAAAGTCCTCGTACGACGAAAGCAACCTGAAATACTACACGACGATAAGATCATGACTAATGAAGCAAACACATTACATAATCATATTAGTTTTACTGTTTTACTTCAACACATTAAAGGGGCACAGAAAAAAACCAAAATCTGAGCCATACAACCCCCCTTCATCCCTTTCGTTTCCAAGGATATCCCTCACACACTGGTCAGTCCGTCCCTCCTCTAGTCCAAACATATCCCCTAAGGAACTGAATTAATCTAATCTAAATTCCTTAACAAATTAGCAAAAAAAAACCCAAAAATAAATCCTAGAGACTCATAGCCCCAAATTCAAAAGAAAACATAAAATTAAGCTAAAAACAAGCCCAGTTCCATTAGAAATACAATCACAACTAAAACCCATTACAAAAATCAACTGAAGTACCAAAACTATCGCTTCAAATATGAACAATCACAGGCCTGAAACCCTAAATCTTAGTTTTCATGCGAAGATAACAAAAGAGCATCCGAGTGAAAGAATCAGAGGTCAAAAAATCATATTAATAAGTACAAAATTAAACACCTAGATCGTTAGCAAACAAACCCAATCTCTAATTCACGAATCGAAATTCGAAACCGCGCAAAAGCCCCAAATTGAAAGCCGATCAGATTTCTTAATGTATGATACAGCAAACAGAGAACCCTAAAAGAGATAAACTTAAGCATACCTTGTGAATAATTGAGAATTTAGAGAGAGAATGAGAAACAGGCGGAGGAGAGAGAGAGAGAGCGTTCAGAGAGAGAGAGATATAAGTAAGAATTTGAGAGGTCGATTTTTTTCGTCTTTTACTTGAAAATGTTAGATTGAGGGATAAGTAAAAGGAATTTGGGTCGTGTATGAACCTATCTGTATAATACAATACAAGGTATTTCATCTTGGCCCTTGAAAATCATCCTATGGCTATGTAAAATTGATTTGTTTAAATACGCTAATAAGTGGTACACTATTAACCTTAAGATAGTTCTGAACGGCTAGGATTAAATTTCTGACAGTGCCTGGATTGTTCTAAACTAGTGGTGTTAGGGTCCAACTTACAAGCTCAATCATGTCTCAAAGGCCGATTATTGTGAAGGGGTTACAAGTCCAACTTAAATTCATATGAAATATGAAATGAAGAGTGTGCAAATTACAATCATATCACACCAATAAAACAATAGTCTTTTAGACGTCAAGTCCATGCAAATCATGCATATTTATCGTGTCAAGCTTTATTATAATGTTAATACATCAATTTGAGTCACGCTAAGCATGTGACATGCTTAAATGAGCCCAAGTCATGTAATGGGTCTTGTCGAGTGGTTCGTTTTGTGGATGGTTATAAAGTTTACTAGACTTACGTAAAATTAAAATTTTGGAAGACTTTTGGGCCACTTGGGAGCACCAAAATTCTAACCCTTTGATTTTGGTTTCACATGGGAAGGCTTAAGTGAAAACAAATTTATCCTTACCCCTTCCCTTGCAAACTAACTAGGATACTTAGGAAACAACCAAAACCCAAAGTCGAGCTAACCAAATCACATGTTTACCTAGAGTCACGTGCCCATTTTATTGTGCAAAAAAAAAATCTTTCCTTTCCAAGCTCACATATGTTTCCAAAACCCAAAGTCAAGTTAACCAAATCACATGTTTACCTAGAGTCACGGGCCCCTTTTATTGTGCAAAAAAAAAAAAAAAAAAAAAAAAAAATCTTTCCTTTCCCAGCTCACATAGGAAAAAGATGAGAGAAAGCATGGAGGAGCACTACCAAAGATAGTCATGCTGTGGGACTTAGTCTAAGAAAGGTGTTGTGGACTTGGTCCATTAAAGGTGTTATGGGACTTGGTCTAGGAAATAAGATACCCTGGGCAGTGTGCACCTAAAAGGAAACTTGTAGCTACAGCAATGGAAAGGTGAATGAAAGACTTAGCTAATTTGGAAGAGGAGAAGAAACCAAGAGATTTCCCAGCTAGAGCTTGGAATGATCACTACTCTATAAATATAAGGAATCAATATGATCTAAAGACACAACTATGCAAAGGGAAGAAGAATGACAAGGGCAAGAATGCATTAAACATAGCACGTTTTGTCTAAGTGTAGAAAACCCTAGTTCTTTAGGGACAATCTTTCCTTTCATCCTGAGCTTTCCAATAAGCTTCCTTAGCTCCTACAAAACCACCAAACCATTAGAAACCTTAGATTAGCTACTTCAAAACTATACATCCAAGAATAATCTCTCTTTCATGCCAAACTAGTGGTTTTTAGCTTTCACACCATACATCATTCGTGCAAGTCGTAACTTATAAGATTATCACTCGTTCCTAGTGTTTGTTAGTTTAAAAAATACTCCTCAATGCCACTGAAAGTAGTGAGGGAAGCACTTTGACAGCGCCAAAGGAAACACTTTGATAGGGTCGAAGAAAACACTTCATCAGCAAGGGAAACACTTCGTTAGCTAGGGAAACACTTCATCAACAATGAGGGAAACACTTCTTCAACACCAAGGAAAACACTTTGTCTACTAGGGAAACATTTGACTGTCTAGAAAAGCATTCACAGTCATTGGAATAACTTCAACAACCGTAGGAAGAACTTCAATTACCACATGAAGCACCTCATCAGCACTAGAAGTAATTCATCAGCGTTAGAAGCACTAAACATATCACCAGGCCAAGCACCCAAAAGCTACTCAAAAGAACAACAAAGCATTCCCTAGGACTTGCTTTTCCTTCGGGATGCTTTGGGTCTAGTCCTCGCTAGCTCAGAAACGAAGGACGTGAAGGTTTTGGCTAGCCTCCTTACAACATAAGCCCATCATAGCATTCAACACAAACCCCCACCTCCCCTTCCCCCCAACAACTAGTAGAAAGGGGTTTTCTCTTTAGTGCATTACATCCTAAATTCAATCATTGCCCTTCCTACAACTTAGACTAAATAAAAGTCACACACAATGTGCGTGTTAAAAATATGACAATCTAAAAAAGAAATTGGAATCAAATTAAAAAGGAGTATGATTTTCTACCCTCCTAATCTCTCTACCTTTCCATGTCTTCCTATTTGAACAGTCACGGTTAAGCCACGTCAACAGTTTGTATTAATTTTGTTTTATAGAGATAATTAGATAAAAAGTAATGTGTGAGAGGAAGGGATGGAAATAGGAGGGTTGAGAATCCTCCTTCAATTAAAAAAAAAGGAAAAAGTAGGAAGTGAGAGAGAGAAAATGGAGGAGTACTATAGTTACATGTGGGTGATGAAAAAAGAAAAACAAACAAAAACATGTTTGTGCAAACTTATGCCTATAGCCTTTTCTTTTCTAATATTTCTTTTCAATTATGTATAATAGTAATTTCATTTGTTTTTGTTTGACAAACATAGTTATATTTTTTATTTTATTTTTGCTACAAAGGGGCCCAAAGCCCAAGCAAAACCGCTAAACAAGGAAGAACTTCAGCCCAAAGGTTTACACAAATAGCTCGAGTCCTAGCAACTCCGGAAATATCATCTAGAAGCAAACCAACGAGTAAAGGATAAGGGTCACCCAACATAACATAGCCCAAGTCCAAAGAAAAACTCACCTTTGGCAAACCATTAGCCACCATATTCTTTTCCCTATAAATGACTTAAATCACATTGATCAAATTGAGACATCAAGTGATTACAACCATATAACAAAGAAGCTAAGGGATGCAACTCATGCCTAGTACATTTGCCGAATGACACTAAAACATTAGAGTCAGATTCCACAAATATTCTTCTAGCACCCTTATCCAAGACCATTTTCAAACCTAAAAGGAGACCCCATAGCTTAGCTTCAAGGACTTCTTCTACTCCCATATTAGCTAAAAAACCTCCGATCCAAAAGCCTTGATGATCTCTAAGCACTCCCAAACTGATAGCATGGTTTTTCCCTAAGCAAGAACCATCAATATTCAATTTCAACCATTCCTCATTTGGAGAAACCAAGCCAACTTTTCAAGAATTCTGAAGAGCTTAGAATGACTAACCTTATTAGCATCAGTCCACTCCTAAGCATACTTCAAAATAACATTCATAAGGTCAAGGGGAGTTTGATAGGATGGATTGAAGACAATATAGTTTCTCCACTTACAAATATGCCAGCACGCAAACCAAAAAAAATTATACCATTCCAACCCTCGGTGACTGAGAGTTTTACAATGTATGTTAGCAGCAATCTATCCTTTCAGGTCTAAATTGAAAGTAGAACGAATCTTACTAGGAACCTTCAACGAATTTCAAAGTTCCAAACAACCTTAGCTTTAGAGCACTCCCATTAAAGGTGAATTAAATTTTCAACAAGACCACCATGCGCGTATAGGACAACTAGTATCTAAAGTCATATTCTTCTTAAATCTTTGTTGGTTAGTTAGAATATTATTGTCAATGCAAATTTCCGATGTCTTTTGCTTTGATGAAAATGCACTTGCAAAACAATCAACACCTTTGATAAAAAACCTAAGCCTCACATGCCCATAAGATAGGGAGGTGTAACACTTGGAAAGTGTATGTGTGTGTGTGTGTGTGTGTGTATGATAGTAGTAAAATTATTTTAGCTTTTAAATATTAAATAAGGAAAAAAAAAATACCCAACAGACAAATGATGAGCTAATGTGTAGACATCCTAAACTCTTATTCTTCTTCCCAACCATTACACGGTGGGGAGCCATGAGAATCTGATCCTGTTCATTAATTTTGGGGGTGATGTGGGTAGTCTAGATGGGTGAGTAAGCATTCTAAAATAGAGAATGCAATGATGGGGTTAGAGAGAGTATTCCTAACCCTCACCGAAGAACTCGAGGAGAGCGAGAGTTTTTGGAAAGGGAAAAGTAGGAAAATGAAAAATAGAGGAGCTGAGAGGGTGCCTGGTTTGTTCTTTAATTGGTACAAAAGGTTAGCTCAAATTAGTTAATTTTCTATTTTCTTACCACTGCAACTTTGATTTCTAGAAAACTGCAGTTCGTGAGCCTCACTTTGGCTCTTGTTTCTCTCAATCCACTACACCTTTTAAAAAAGTCTTCTTATATATTCGAAATTAGACATGCCAAGGAACAAAGCCCAATTTATTTCATCGATTTTGGTTGAGATCTTCTATGGAAAAATATGATTTGAAAATGTGAAAAAATCTAGAAATCTGCAGATTTTCTGCAGAAAAATTGTTTGTGAACTCAACTTTGGAGCTTGATTATTTTCTTCTCTTAAATCCGTTTTGGGAAACTCTTATTAGATTAGAAACTAGGTTTGTTAAGCTTTAAAATCCAAGTAATTTCATCATTTTCCATGGAGTTTTGAGGGATGAAAATGGGGTCACAATATGGGGACTTAAGCTTGGTTCATCACAATGTTGTGACAGGGGTACATTTGGGTAAACTTTTGATAGGCTGAAATTGAATCTTCATTCAGCTTGGGAGTGACTCCGGATACTTCGAGGCTTAGAGAGGTATTCTAGTTAGCTGGACTCGAGGTAGAGGCTCTATTTCCTGATGATAGTTCTATATCATGTTTAATCTTTGTGATATTAGTAATTATATCTACTACAGTAGTAATAAAATGCTTGGATGAAGTTGAATCATTTGATTGTCATGGTTGCATTATGGGTTGATAGTTTCTTTTCCGATGTATTTTATATATCGACTATGTTAAATGTTGTTATGTTTTAATGAAGGGTTGAGCTATGTAAAATTGCTGGATTAAATATGTTGAGGTTTACAATTGTATCTGTGAAATTGAAATGTTCAGGTTGCATTGCATGAAACAGAATCAAGTTTTGGGTTGTGTAAAGTTTTGGTTAAACAAAGTGTTGA